AAGATTCTCATTCAGTTAGTAATATAGCAATTAGGAACAAATCTGGAAATTACTACTTTCCAGCTGTTACCCAGTTGGAATGGGTCCGAATTTACAGCTGGAGTCCGGCTGGAAATTATAGCTGTTTCCAGCCGGGATTTTAAACTGGGGATACATCGGTTCAGCCCCAATTTTTTACCCTGTCGCATCTCAGCCGACCGGAGGGACAACCCTGCTGACAAAACCTCATGAAATCGTCGAGAGGTATTCGAACAGAGGTCTCATGAGGGCTCGTAACTTTCTCATGAGAAACGCATGAGGCTCTTATGAGGCCTATTAAGATCCCTCAAAATCCTCATGAAGGATTCGGCAGATCTCATAAAAAGTCGTGAGATCTCATGAGTTTTTAATGAGGTTATTCCAGCAGGGAGGGGTAGTGAATCTATTATTGTCACCTCATAACATGTCATATTCATCTTCAGCCTGCACTTGGCGTGCGCTCAATACACACACCCCGACTAATTGTTGACTCGAAGACTATCAGCAACCCTCTCGCTCCTCCATTGCCTGCCTTGCATTTGGTGGCAGCCGAGATCATCGGTGGAATTTTGGAAGGACAAAGTCCCCCGTTCGAAGCCGTGACGTAACGGTGGAAGTAAGGAGCCTCGGTGATCGAGTCTTTCGCGTGGAAGACGTCAGATTGTGAGCGATTCCATCGATATGCTCTGCACTCGAGAATTTTCTCGGCACTTTATACTTGAGAAAGGGCGTGGAGTCGCCATCGATTTCCTCGATATGATGCGAATCATTTTTGGCATCAGCATCGCCTTCCTCGGCGGGGGGAGTCGAGGGAGCGAATCTTTCCGATATTCGCTTCATCTTAGTCGTTAACATTGCATTCTCGAGACTGCCATCGCGAAATCCATTTAAGAATCCGGTCGGCTCGAAGGCCACGACCGAGACCGCAAGGTGGTCGCGGCGAGGCCTCGAGGCCGTCGGCAGTGCCGCAAGGAACTTCACGCTTCGGCAATCGGTCCTCGCTCGTTCCATCTTCGGCATGTGATAATTGGCGATGGTGTAAGGGAATGTATGGGGTAATTTTTCTCGTATCGAAAAAGAAAGGAAGGGGTGAGAATTTTCATTAGTATTGGGATTGGTTGAGACCAGAAGGGTAGCCAGGAGCATTCTCGTCGAGAATCCCAGCAGTCCTTCCTTGCTTCCTTCCTTGCTTCCTTCCTTGCTTGCTTGCTTCCCTGCTGCCCTTTTCAGATGGAGTTTCGACCCCCTGGGAATGTTTCGAGTCTTTTCAGATTGACATGGCCCATGGAAAGCTGTCTCATTTACGAAAGTAGGCTTTAGCTAGTGACTGTTACAGCAGAAAGTCGCCATCGGGGGGTGAGGGAGGAGGGGGGGGGGGGGGTGAGCGATGAGATTCTCTCCACGGTATGTCCCTCCTCTTTGAAACGGGTCTGCGTCAGAGAAAAGTTCTCGAAGCCCTCATCTCTCAACTCCTCGTCTCCGACCTCTGACGATAAGAAGAGCACGACGCAATTTTATGCTGGCAGGAGAAGGGAAGCAGAGCACTCGGGATGCCAGCCAGAACCCTTTCCTTACTGCTTCCGAGGACCTGACGATAATCATAAAGAGGAAGAAAACTTTTTCTGCGATTACTTCCTTTATTCTCAGAATAATAGTGGGAGGATTTTCTCATAACTAGACATTCGGCGATAATGGACGCAACTCTGGGACGGAGTCTCATGCTTTATTCATGTTATCAGTGAGTTGACCAGACCGAAGTGGACTCCTCGACCGAAGTGGACTCCTCGTGATGGTGCTGAAAGCGACCCTCGAGTGTGTGATGGGTTTCCTTGGGTTCTAAATTCCAAGGTGTTATTGGATTTTGAACCCCCACTTATGCGTCTTGGACAACCGAGACGAGTGAGACTCAGTCCTGAGGATATCCGCACGGATGAGCCGAAAAGATCAAATCAGCATCTCAGATGTTCATCTCCCGGCTCTTCTCGAAGCACCGGGACTGACTGTCTTTGCGCTGCAAATCATTCCTCCATTGTAGTACCCACGTCCAGATATTCCCAGTGAAGGTTCTACCCACAAAAATATGAAAATGTTGTATGTGGAATGTAATTCGAAACGAAAACCATCCCAACTCGTACAATTTCGGCTCGTGAGTGAAAAGACAATCTGCTGCTGAAACTTGCCGTGGAATCACAACCAAGATCAGTAGTATCGTGTTTTTTTTTTGTTCAAAAGAGTTTCTAATGTCTCTGGAAAATGTAATAACATAAAATAAAATTATACCTGACGCAATTCATCTCCCACTTCGTTTAGTTCGTTTTGATTTTTCCTAAATACCCCATTCAAACCATCTGAACAGTACACCAACATGGAATCCAGATCGAACGCGACTGAAAAAGTTACGAAATCGAGCAAAAGCGGAAACCAAGGTGAGCATCAGTAAATACAGAATGATTGAAAAGAAGCTACGTTTTTTGCTGCGGGAACTTTCGTTTCTTTTTATTTCTTCAACAAACGGGTGGAGTGTGTCTTCAGGGGGTTTCCACCTGAGAAAACACTATTTCTTTACAGCACGCGGTGAAACTAGAGTCACTTAAACTGACAAAGACTTTCTAAAAAAAAACTAGACTGAATGTCATGGGATGATGACGCCGAGGAACATGTGCCATTCGTGGCCTGAAATAGCATGAGCTGAAGCTTGCAGGGTCTGTCTCCATGCCTCCATCCCAAAAGGACCCGTCTCCGTGCCTCCATCCCAACAGGGCCCATCTCCGTGCCTCCATCATGCACTCCTCGCTGAGTACACTTGGTCAGCGGAGTTTTCCATGCGTGTGAAGATGTGAAGAGAGGAAGAATGACGTGACGTGTCTTCCAGTCGTCCCACTTCGATGTCATTCGATTAGCGCAAGTTTTAAGTTTTGAGCGGAGGTATTCATGCAAACATCGAGAATAGCTTGGAGCTACGGCACAGACATACAGTACGGGCGATTGCATAAGGAATCTCAAATAAAGGAGGCTCGTTAAATAAAAAAAAAGAAACTCGTGCGCTTGAGTCTATTTGAGCTTCTCGCTCACGCAATACGAGCGGACAACAGCTCTCTGTACGCAGGATAAAAATTGCGGGAGCCTGGCCAAATGGAGTGCTTCCTTCGACCAGAGGATGGGGATGGACAGAAGCCATAAATGGCATCTTTCCTTTTTGGAAGCTCCGCCCACTCGAAATCTAGCTATACCCTTTCGTTCTTGAGAATACTCGGGAAAGCTTTTGGTATACTGTTTAGAGATTATGTCTAATGCGTGGAGATGAAATGGAGAGGGTCACAGTTGGAAGAAGCATTGAGCGGTTTACTGAAAACTTCCAAGGTCTATATGCTCGGATGATTCTCGGGTTCCGGGCATTATGGTGAGTATTCTTCACTTCGTGTCAACCTCATGGACATAATGCAAGTAGTAAGTAGAGGATTTTTTTTTTCTCCTTGTCCTTGACCTTTTTGTCCAACCGCGAAGCACACATCAGGCATAACCTTCAGTCACGCCAGTAAGTCGGATGCGTGGTCCCCCATTCGATATCGTGGTGAAGCACACCGTGGACATAAATCCTGGGCCCAGCAGTAAGCGGTCGATTACCTACATTGGGAAGCCGATCGTGCGTCCTTGTATCACACGCGAAACATAAAACGCGTAGTAAGCTCTCGCATCATAGAATCGGCCGTTTTGTCGCGGTAGTCGTAGCAAATTATGCGGGCCAAATCCTTCTTGCTCACTGTCTCCGCTGGAAGCCTCTCGATTGCATGAAGCCAGGCGAGAATGTGAGGAACTTCCCTTCGCTCTCCTCCATTGTGAGAAACATCATTCATTATCCCGAGCCAGACAGGCCTTTTGGGCAACCCCTTATATTGTTTGAATGATGAACCTTTCCTCTTCCTGGATGAGATCCAAAAACGAGAGAGCGCGAGAAATATTTGCGAAAATCCGGATTCGCGGAAGAGGGAAACGGTCACGCGTCTCCCTGAGGGATAATTAGCTAAGAATGGAAGAAATCCATTAAACATGAGGCCCGCCGGGAGGGCTGAGGAAATCCTGCTAATTGGAAGCCCAGACGGAGACTGAGAGTTTATTTAGGCAGGACCCAGGGCTAGTCTGCTCGGGGAACGAGGAAGAGAACGATGGCTTTCGGCTCCTGGAGACTTTCTATTTCCGGATCCCAGAAAGGAAACAGATCTCCGTGATCTTTTCGTGGGGGGCTGATATTTTGGGGGAAGAGAGGTAAACAATCGGAGACCTCGGGAATTTCCCTCCTCCCGGCCTTTTGAAATGCAGGGGATCTAATGAATGGAACTGGCACCGAGATTCTCCTCCAGATTGGCACTAACGCTCTCTACGTCGTACCATGAATCTCCCTTCCATTCAGTCCGTCTCTTCCTTCCTTGCCAGGAATCCTGATGTGATTCCCGTTCCTTGTTCTCCCCCCCCCCCCCCCCCCCCCGCCTTCTGAGAAGCCAAGAGCGATGAGAGTGCCCAGGACATTCCACCTTTCCCCCCAGCCGGCATTTTTCTTCAGACCTGTCACGGGCTCTGGTTTAATCCCAAGTAGGAGTAGATCCACTCCCTCCCCCTGGATCATGACATCTCCAAGAATAGAAATGACTCTCGGACTCGTGCGAGCTGGCATGCGAGGCATTTGAATGGCTCAGCCTCATCACGGATGCAAAAGACGTTGATTGTCCTCTTGATGATTTTCCTTCCTCCTCCTCCTCCTCCAATTTCATCCTCTTTTCCTCCCCTCCCCCTTAATGAAGGGATCCATCTGCCCCCTCTCAATACCCCGAACATCATCTTCGCCTCATCATCCCCCACAGATCATCCCAGATAAGACTTTCGGCGACGGGATTCATTAGAATGTTGAAGGCGCAGAGGGCTTAAGACTCGAGAGGAATGAAAACTCTTAACAGCTTACTAAAGGCAACGACACTCAAAGGGACTCCTATCAAGTCGTCAGTTCATTTTTATTCTCAACTGTGGCTCTCAAGGGACCGAGAGAGATCCTAACGAGTGGAAGACCGAAGGAAGGGAAAGTCGTTTTTTTTTTTTCTTCTTTTCTTTTATCCACATCATCACAGACATGCAAGAAAGAAACTCTAGAACGAGAGAAAATAAGAAAAAGACCTTTGAAGAAGGCTGTCTCTCTCGGCCCTCGAGAAGTAAAAAAAATCTATTCGAACAATGTCACAAAATTCGTATACACTCGCACTCGACACTCATTCACAATCTCACAAAAGACGCGGTCGTGGCTCCAACGCAGGGGGTTCGCCTTCGGATGGAATTCTTTGGAATTTCATCCTTTTTCTCTCGCATATCGGTGGTTTTATTTGCATAAAATTTTGTGCTACTGCGCTACGGTCAGCCATCCTGATGAGATCTTCCTGTTGAGATCAACGGCTGCCACGAGATTCTCACTTCTTCAAGGCAACAAAACAACAAACTCACTCCCTAAGGCAAAGTCAGAAAGGGAGAAGGAAAAACCGAGAAAAAATTGAAGGAAAAGCAAAGAATACAAAAAGACGAAGAGACTGGAAGGAAAACTTTTCCTAAGAGGCAGGAAATTTTGTTTTGCTTTTATGCTAAGCCTCAGCGAAAATGGAGGCAAAAAAACGGCTCGGCCGGATCACAGACAAACCGAGAAGGGACAACTCTTGTCCTCTCTTCCCGCTACTCCTCCTTCCCATCCTCTCTTTCTCACTGGGCTCTACTCTATCTCTTGAGGTAGATCAAACGTATTCCGTCAAACTCAACTCTCATGAAATTCATCACTATTATGAAAACATCAAAACTTCAGAACACGTCGGGCACGCTGGATTTTCTCTGAATAAAAATTTTGGGAAATCGCCCAATGATTCAGTTTCGTCGAGAAATAAATCTGACCATGATGCGAATTCTTAAAAGAGAGAGAGAGGGGGGGAAGGATTGACTTTGGATGTGGCTTGGCTTTTCATGTGCATAAAGGACTGATATGCCTAGGCATGCAGGTGGAATGGGGGATGTCATATCACAGATCCTTCTCCGTCTAACAACACTGGCACCGTGTCTTGCATGTCTACAAGTAGATCTTTTTCACTTTCTGGATGGGCTGGTTGTCCGCAGCCGAGTTGGGATTCTTCCCGTTCGGGTTCTTGGCCGGGACGTTCAGGACGAGGTTAATGCTTTTGTTGTTGATGTTCGGTTGGGCATCCACGTGGTTCATCAAGTGGTGGTTGTGGGGATGATGGTTCATCAATCCTCCATCCGCCGGGAACCTACGACAACAACCGAACGATACTCATTATCGCAACAATTTCTGGACTCTGGATTTTCTTAAAACCAGGCTTGTCAAGGTTGTCAAACGAATAAAGTGAATTAATTTTTAAAAAGTGAATTTGATCCCAGACCTAGATCCCAAGCCTTACGTGAGACAACAACTTATGACTTACTACGATGGACAATAATTAAAAATATATAAACCCTAGACCCTAAGCATTCTGCGTTAAACTTTCACTTAAACACCTCCCCACCCCCACAACATGAAATACCTTCGAGAAAAGTATAATCTCGGTGGGAAGAAGGGATGAAGATGAGGTACCTGATGTCGGCATACGAGGAGTCGAGATCATCGGATCGGCATCTCCGAGAGAACCCGTACCCTGAGACGAACCCAACGATGAGGGCAGCGACGCACGCCGTCGTCACGGCGATCGCAAACGTCTCCGAACTGTACCTCTCTTTCCTTTTCACGTCTTCTTCTACTGCCATGTACAACGTCCCTGCAACAACGCAACGAACGTCACATCACCACCATCCACGCGATATCGTGGCATTTTCATCAGGACTGTAGTTGATGAAGAGAAGTCAAATGGGAGGGATCTCGTACTGATACTCAGTCGCTAAGAGCTTCGATAACATGGAGCAAGGAAGGAAGGTCCTCCTACTCCATGGAAACAGCAAAAGAAGGTTGAACCAGAATATGGCTCCATTTAACTTTTTCTTCAGTTAAGATGTCATGGCTGCCCCTTAGATATCTTTAAAAATATAGCTTTGCCCTTCGTGACCGGAGCAAAGGAATGGGAGCAACGTAGCTTTAAGTAGCTACACGGTGGATTAAGATGTTCCCTTTGGCTTGATATTCACCCGAGATGTTTTTGGAAATTCATCATGCATATGAGATTAATGATGAAAGTTCACGGTTGGCCACACACCTGAGCATACTTCATGACAGTTGAAGGTATAAAGGACAAAGGCAATGAGAGATAGACATACCGGTCGTGCGACTCTGCTGGTGGACGTCATTCTCGGTCGGAATTTCGTTCGTCTCCCAGTCCTTCCGCCCTGCACCGTCACAAAACCGAGATTAAGCATCGACGAAAATCGCAAAAAGCTGCCCTCTTTAATATCCTTCAAGCCTGGATCATTGTTTGGGTCATTTCCTTTCTCAAATCAATTGCAACATTTCCATACGTAAGCTACTTTTCACAACCACACCGAATCAATAACACTATTTTTATTATGAATTTTTTTTCCTTAACATGCGCAACGGAAACTCTGACGATTCCTAGAATTTGCATTGTAACCAATAGTATGAATGAAGCACTTCCTATTCCAAAAAAAATCAAACCAACAAGGACACAATCAAAACAACGGCTTTTTTAGAAGTGAGAACTTGACCAGAGAAAAATGAGAAATTGAGGAGGGCATGCAGGGTTTTTCTCCTTTATCTTTTTGAGACTTTGATTTGCTGGAAAAAAAAAAAGCCTTTTTCAAGGATTCCGTGATTTTCGTTAATTTTTCCTTTTTCCAAATGCTGCTCCACTTTCTTCTGACTGAAAAATATAGTTTCGCCGACAACCCGATGTCAGCAATGGCAGCGAGGAAAGTTGGCTAGAGGGAAAAGGGAATCGTCGAGGAGTAGGTTGGGGAGCGACGAGGCATGCAGATCCGAGACTTACCGGGAGCCCAAGCGGGTGAGGCAGGAGAGGAGGTGGGGCGCTTGGTCAAGTCCTCCAGAGACTCCTCAAACACTGATCAGTGTCAAGTGAATGCATGCAAATGAGTAACAGAGAGGGGAAAGAGAAATAGAGAATAGGACTCCAGACTCGGCGAAGGAAGACCCAAAAGACAGATAATAGAGTGATAGAGACTGACCGAAGTCGGGGCAGGAAGAGGAGACACCAGCGGAGACCTTCTGTATGACCCCATGGGACCCGGAGACGGCCCCGGACGACACGGCAACGCACTGTCCTTGCTTCAGGTCCCAACCGCAGTACGGATCCTGCAGCTTCACACAATCGCTATGGGGAAACACCAAGACCAACCGGTCAATGGATTCAAATCAAGAAGCAGCATACTATTTTTAAAACTTTAGGAAATTATTATTAAAAATAAATAAAGGCGGTGACGATATTGTATCAGAGCCCTACTGCATACTGAATTTTATTTATTAATAATAGATAAAAATTCTTAAAGTCTATCAGTAGTATTAACAATCTGAGCCAATAATACGACACGTAAAATAAATAGGAATAGGAATAAGGGCAAAATATTCAGATGAAATGAATTGACTGTAGATAAGAGCATGGACAGACCTGCAGGTTTTGGCGACCTGGGAGCAGCGATGAACTGGGAAGGAGAAAATTTCATCGGCAGAGACGGCAATGACCTGAGGGGTGTCTTCCTTGGAGAAGTGTAGGACCTCCAAGTTTTCTACATGGGTCCCAGGGGGGAAGACTTGTAGGTCCTCGATGACCACGGATCGGACATCGTCCACCCGGTCGTATGCCAACACGTTCACCGCTTTCAATACCCTTCCATCGTCTGTTCCATATCCAGACACAAGTATACGAATTAGTTAACATTTCTCTGTACAGAACCCCTAAGTAATCACACAAATTCTGTTCTTTTCCTGCTAGGACTTTGATTGTTGTGCTTCTTCACCAAAAGATTCAGAAGCGAAAGTGAACCTCATCATTTCTTTAACGGAATTCTAAACTTCTTTGAACCAATACGAACTTCCTCTACTATCTCTGCTTGGTCGAGACATTCTGACCTACGTCTTTTCAGAAAACAAATTACTATTATGCACGGAGCATCGTTCAAACTGCAGTGGAATTAAGTTGTTGATAATGGTCAAAAGAAATTGACAATAAAAACTTTGCAAAGCAGAGCACATAGTCATAACTAAAACATATGAGAAGACAAAGGGTTGTCCTCAACAGCAAAAGCTTTAAGAAAATAATGGCATGAAAAGTGAACACCCATGACTGGTATCGAAATTCCACGAAAAATAAAATGGATGAGAAAGAAATGACTGCAAGTGAAGATGAGGGGTTTCTAGAACTGACCTGTGCCGACGAAAAGGACGTCGTAGGCCTTCCCATCAGCCGTCTGAACTTGAGGATCCACGGCTATCTTCGTGAAACGATATCTACACAGCACACAAGAGAAGGCTGGATTCATTTCAAGAGTCTCAGAACTAATACTGTGTCATAATTACGTGAGTCACGTAAGTGCATATTACATCGCTCCATATATGCTAATAGGAATAAACATCAAATACGAAGCCTGGTTCCAGCTCTCTTGCACTTATGACAAATTTTCAAGAAGCTTGAGGGGAGGGGGGGGGGGAGTCATCATATCATAAGAACAAGGCGCAGACAACAAGAGGACCGCTAAAGAGGTTGAGGTCGGCCTCATCCATCAAGGGTGAAGCGGTCCTCATCCAGACAAATACCAGACAAATTACATTATACAGGACAGATTTCAATTTTATCTGGTATTTATGAGATACATTCTGAAGACATGAAGGGAAGACAATAGCTGTCTGTCGCAGTCACCTGAAGGAGGTGCGGAGGGCGAGCGGACGGGAGAAGATGTTGGGAACGGCCTCGTCCATCAAGGGATGACTCTTGACGAAGTTGAGCGTGACGTCGGTGAGGGTCCGAGAGTCCTCGACACACTGGCCCGGCCGGGGCTCTGGGACCTTCTTCTTTTTAACGGGGATCCAAGCGGAGTCCGGAGTGGCCTGTTCCTTGAACGGACCAGCAAACACGTCCAGGATCGCCCTGAGTGGGAAGGCACACACTCCGGACCCGGATAACTCGTTCCGGCCCGTCGTCATCGTCGCGTACATCACCTCAGATTCCTTCTCCCCGTACACTCCCTTCACCAGACCACTCGTGGACTCTGCACACCCACACAATTCATACTCATGCATACGATTGACTCACGAGCCTCGTCAATCACATTTCGCTTTATCATTACTTCCAATCAAGAGGATTTCTCTAAGAGTGCAGGGTGTGGCTAAAACAAAAACGAACCAGGGACTTTGACCTCCGTGCGCCGTTCAAGAGTGCCAGGACGGTTCCTACGAATGATATGAATCGTGATATGATCGTGAACGGCACGATCCGCCCAAGTACAACCAGATATATATCGACAGCAGCAGCTTATTTTTATTGCTGATTGCAGGGTTTATGGGAGGTCATAGCCTCGCCTACGTATTCTTTTGGGTAACCACATACTATCACGGCTCATCTTTATTCAGCGGATATAAAATGAAGATTGCGACACCACCGTAGGCAGACTGGGATGGGCACCAAGTTTACTTCACTTTCAAGTAAATACAGTACATACTTGAGTTAGAAGCTCAACTTCATGGTCTACCACATCTGGTCTGAGTCCCTATTGAAATCGACAATTATGCCAAAACCTAGGCGTATTCGATTTGTCCTGCACTTGAATTACCGGTGAGTACCCCTCATGAAGTTTTTGGGTTTCTTATGCCTTCTCGCTACTGCCCTTCGAATGAAACTTGTAACGAAAAGCAAATGAATCAAGAATGCCTTGGGGAACATAATATACAACTCGTGTCTGACAAAATATGCGACAAAATCATATCGAAATCCATTGTCAAGGCATTTAATTTTTTATTTAATGTAATTTGTCCTTGGAATGCAGCAGACACGTCCCTGACATCCAGATATTCCGTCATTGTGCTCCTAATGTGGATGTCCGCAGGAAGCCTTGGAGAAACCAAATCCCAGCATTATCAAATCCGTCGTCCTCCGACTTGCAGCAGGACGCCCGCCGGATACAACAGTCTTTCCTGTAGGTATATAGTGACGCAAACTGCTGCGAGCCATTTGATTTGTTGCACCCAATCATCAAATGCCGCATCCTCTGGTGCACTTCCCAGGTTCCGCGATATCCAAGCGTATTTCCTTCGCTGAAGCGATGGAAATACGTTCGGATATCGTCATTAACTTCCGACGAGAACGAGTCACATTCCGCTTCCGCAGTTCATCATATTGCGCATCCGCAGATCAAAGTCCAAGGGCATCCTCTTCATAGAGAACAAAAATAAAGGGGATCCGAAAGAGCACTTAACTTAGTCCTTTGTCTTAAGAAAATCGTAGTTTCAGAGCAGTCCTGTCAGAGCGTGAATTTCAATTACGAGTATCCGGGACTTGAGTCACGTGAACGAATGAAGAAATACAATTAATGTCTCCGTCATGGATGTCAAGGCGAAAACTCCTCTGATTGGTTGAAATGTACCATCTACGCCTGTACCGTTATTGCAATCTACAGTCTCATTCCCCGGTTTTATAATTGCAGCTATAGTTCTAAAAATTGTAATGTAATTTCCTTTTTTCCCTCCCACGCAAGAGACTGTTACCAGAAAGATTCAAGCTCTCTACTGCTGACCGCTCAATTTCTTTCTTAGAGCTCTTTTAATGCGTCTCGGATCTCGGTGGCTCTGGTTGTCTCCGGAACTTTTGTAAAGAATTTTACGAGAAGCCAAATTCTCCCCTCCCTCATTCCCCCTCTAACAATCGGCAACAACTGAATTTTGTATCACACCAGATAGAGACTTCACCGCTGTAGTATTCCATGACCTGGAAGACTTTAATGCGAAAAATGAAGGATGAAGAGAAAGACAAATTCTTACGGATGTGGTGGAAGTAGAAAGGGAAGTCCCCAGGTATGGAACAGTTGAGGCGGGCCTTAAGGAAGGAAGTCCACCGAGACGTGAAGGAATGAGCCCCGCCCTTGTCCTTCTTGCACACCCGACCCACTCGTGAATACCGAGCCTGGTGGAGGAATCAAGGATCTCATTATGATGAATGTCATAAGGAGACGCCCGACTGGGGTGGGGAACATTAAAATTCCGGGGGTCCATTTGCCTCTTGGGAGAATCGGCAAGAAAACAACAAAAAAAAGTTCGGGGAGGAGGGGAGAGAGAAGAAAGACCATCATGATTATCATGGTCGTGTCCATCAGAAAAAATCTCTTGGAGAAAAAAAAAAACCGCTTGAAATACTTATCTAGACGTTTCACCAAAGGCCAAAAAAAAAAAACTCCGATAAGACGCTAAATCCATTTCTGGTCATTGCTTATCAGTTTCACTTTACTTTTCTTGTCTTCTCTCTCTTTTTTCCCCATACAAATCCTTTACTTAGCCTCACCTTCCCACAGTTGCTATACTCGACGGCATTCTCCCGGAAGAAGAAGTAGACGTGTTCCCCGTAGTCCAAGGCACTCACAAAATCAGGGGCTGACAGAAACAAAGATCATTTATTTAACATAACACCTCGAAGAATTTACAATTTATAATGGACCTATTTTTCCATTACCATTGAGGTGATTGAGGTCGTATTGCTCGGTTCGGAGGGGCGCTCTGTAAATAAGGGGATCCGTGCCAGAAAAATCCGTCACTGTCCCCACGTACAACTCACCATCTACCCAACAAGATAAACATAAAGACTCAAGAATTCCAATTGTAACAAATTGTCTGCGAACGACATACTAGCGATATTTTTATGCACAATATAATGAAAATTTCCAAAGAAATACATCCAGAGTAACTATTGACAATAGGAGCCACAAAAAAATTATAAAAAGAAAAGAAGAAAAGTCGAGCCCTGATGCTGCAGCATGCCTACAAGGATGCTTGGTGACGTAATATTAAATGACGATGAATCGATGAGATATGAGTCAGGCACGCAGGTGATTCCTCGAGTTCCACGAACCGGATCGATGCCTTCACGCAATTTCTCGCTCGAAAACACGACGCTTTCCAATGCAGAGGAGGAGAAAAAGAAAGAAAGGAGAAGCGACCGTGTCTGTCTGTGTATCCTTAAGGAGGAAGGGAAGTTTGGCCCGGAGCCAGACATGGGCTCCTACCGAAGATGGCTCCCTGGGGAGGGAAGAAAGACAAGAAAGGGTTTTCCTTTCTTCCCCTTTCTTCCTCAAATAATGTGTGTCCTGTACGGGGGGTGAAGGCATGGAAGGGGATTTCCAGGGAAGATGAGCACGCGATCACGAAGAGGAAGAATGTCACGACTCACGACGGAACATCGTTTCCCTATCAGGAACCAGGCTAGTCATGGGGGGTGGGGGTTAAGGAAAAAGTGAAAAATATATACTCAGAGAGAGAGAGAGAGAAAAAAAAAATAAATCCTGAGCTGGGAACGCATTCAGCTGCAGGAGTGTCTCAAAATAATGAATATGCAGAGAAGGACGTGAAGATTAGTTACACCGAGAGGGAGAGAGAGAAAATGAATATGGATGAGAGAAAGCCGAGATGAGCCCATATTTCCCTCCTTACACAGAAAGCCATGAGAACATGGATTATCAACCATATTTATTTGCGACGGTTAATTGCGCTAAATTTCTTCTTTTTATTTTCATTTTGTATTTCAAAAACAAGAGATGGATTCGTCTGGATGAGAGAGTATTGCTAAGAGCAGAAAAAATAGCTCGACGTGAACCTTACCGCAAACTTAACGAAAAACCAAAAAAAATTTCTATTTGTTCTCCGTTGACTTGTTTCATACATGCCTGGAGTGAATTTTCCCTCTCCCCCCGCCACCAGGTCAAGCCCTTCGACACGGGAGCAATCTGTCCATGTCTTGTTATATGTCAAAGATCTCTTCTTCAACAGAGACGTCTTTCTCTCCTTCAGAACGGAGAAAACCAAGGAAAGAAAAAAGAGATAAAAAGATATCCATCCCTCATCCGGGTCTTTTTCTGACGGGAAAGGTCGGAGGAGTCTTGTGACCCAGAGTCTCCTTTAAAAGAGAGGGAAAAAAAAGCCCACGAAGGAAGAGAGAATGAAAGAAGAGATAGAAATAGAGATACGAGACGGGAAGACAAGACAGGGAGACATCCATCATTTGATCGACGACGAAGACAAGCGATAGAGACGACGTGGCATTGCATTTCAGCCTTCTTCACCAAAAGTGAACAAGGCGAATGAATAATGAACGAAGGAATCAATGAATGAATACGAGGGGAAAAGTATAAATCTTCAAGGCTCATATCGCATCATAACCATAAGGCAGAGTTAAAAAGAGATATGGCAAGAAACATAGATGAAAACTACTGTTTTATAAAACAATACAAAATAACAAATTCTATTCTACTTTTCAAGGAATGAATCTAATAATTTTGAAGAAGTAATATAACTAGGAAAATCGCAAAGTGCCAAAAAAAATTGACAGATGACTTTATTCACCGTCGGTAAATAAAAATGTTTCCATAGAAGGAATTATTACATAACACCCTTACATAACATAAAAGCTAGAAGACAACATAATAAATTGGTTGCGACATTGTAGAGGATCATACCAGCATAGATGGCAGTGGAGTTGTGCCAGGGGTCATAGGGGCAAAGACCCCTGGCCGGGATGTCCTCTGCTCCTTCCTTCACTACCCACGAACCCCCATCCTGCAATGTCCCGCCAATTTCAATCAATTAAAGTTAATTAATAAGCATGGTGGGAGGCAAAATTGTGAGAGACATATCTCTCTCGTGACCAATCGGGGATTTTCAGACGCACGATAGGGGATCTTCCATCACGCCAATGTCAAGTCATAAAGGTCTGTAGGATTTTTATGCTTTAAATGGGTCTCTTTTTCTATTCAGTGAGGTATTCCCTCAACACTAGTCACGATAGAAAGAAAACAGAATTACTTGATGGGAAGAGGAAAAAATCAATCTTAGAGGAGAAATGAAGAAATGTGGATTTGCTGAGATGAGATCAAGATCCCAGGGGTCTTCCGGAATGCATTGAATCTCCCAATTTTTCTTTCTTTCCCACCCCCTCCTCCACCTTCAAAAAAATATCATCAGTCCGACAGACCAATGCAATTTTCTCTCATTTTCACTCTCAGAATGAATTTGCTTTCCTCTGGCAGGGATCGATCTAGCATTCCATGATTGCATCGTCAGCATTCTCCCCCTACCATTATTCCCCCCGTTGCACAGAATCTCTTCCATATCAAGCGCTACTCACGTATAAGAGAAAAAAAATCGCTGGTTTTCTTTTTTACAACCTTAAGTCCTCCACATGAATTTTTCCTGCATCGTTCGCCTACAGAGCATCTTTCTTCTTCTGTATCGCATTAAACAAATTAATAAAATTAGCCACTTCTAATCGGTCACTTGCATTCTCTCAACTCGTTCAGCTTTCCTACCAAGCGAACGTGGGAAATATTCATAATCAGTTCATTTATCTGAACTTCTGTTACAGCCCACCCCTTGAATCATAAAAAGTTCTTGTAATCTGCCCATACCTTGAGGATGTATTCCCGACACCGAGGGCTGTAGGAATAGGTGCCACACACGAGGAGCTCCCCCTCGTTTTTCCGCACCAGGATTCGGATGTAGTTCTGGCATTCCTCCTGCAATGATTGAAATTAAAGGATGAGAAGATTTTATTTTAAAATAAATGAGGGGGGATATCCATGGATGTATAAAATACTCACCGTGGACTTCCCCTTCATCTGACAGAGGTTCTGAGGACCCGACTCAGAAAACCATTCCAGTCTCTGTCAGGAGAAAAAAAGGAAACATTAAATTTTGAGTTTTTTTTTCTCTCTCTAATCCGGAACAGTCATGTGTATATATATAACATTAAAAAAAAAAAAGAGGGAGAGGTAGAAAGACGAAAAGGGAGGAGGATAAGAGGCTTAGAGGAGGAATGGGGGGCAGGCTGAGATTACCATGGGAGAAAAAGAAGGTATAGCTTATGGATAAAAAGGAAGCCACGGAACAAAGAAATGAAAGGAATGAAAGACAGAAGGGCTCACCTGTCTTTCCTTCAGGGTCTTGGCATCGATGATGTAGAACATATTCCTGTACAGAGGAAAATAATTTAATCAATAAGGTGATTTGGTAATGAACGACATTCAAAATGATTATACGACGGTAGAACGGTGAAACGCAAGTTTGAGATCGATGGAATCCCTTCAGTTCAGTGGATGCATCCAAGCATAAACAAGGAGAAATCAGGGATGGGTGTCTCCTTTGAATAGCCGAAAGGCAAGGAAGCGTGCCAGGGATGATAAGGGAATCCAATCACAACCAGAAGATAGGTATCTCAGCTGCACCATCAACGTGCGGAATGAGAATATTCGTCCAGGCGGAAAAAGACGCTCAACACCGTTTTCCTACTTTCTTTTCTCATTCGTTCTGTCTCCGGTTTCGGTCAAGTTCGTTCATTCTCCTACCTTTAAAACAATGGGGCTTGGTACAGAGGAACTGCTTCTCTCCAGTTGAGTGGTTATTGATTTACAGCATCTGATATAGTGGGTGAGTGAGTGGAAAGAGTCTCTCCCTCCAGGCTCAAGGGCAGAAACATGCCCTCTGGGGGGTCAGCTTTCAAGATGGCGTCCAACGACCGTTGGCAGCGGGGACGAGTCCTACACGGGTTCCTCGCGGGTCAGTAAGAGGAGCCCGTCCCTAATTGGATGGGGAGACCGCGGGAGCAGCGGAGTGGTGTGAAACGGCGAAGGTCTCTACTCACGCACGCGTTCTCAGAGGAGGCATGGCCAAGGGCAAGAAAAAGGCTTCGGACACTGACCCTCCCTCCCTTGATAATAAAGAAGGGGAGCAGGGTCTGCATGCTGAGCAACTCTTCGTTCTCTTCTCCAGCCCTTGGGGGCCTCCACAGCACAGCATTCACACAAGTGAAGAGTTCATAAAGGATCAATAATTCATCTCGAGGTGTCGGAAACAAGCAGCCCATGAATGTGGTCTGGCCGTTACAAAGACAAGATATGAGAATGCGCCCCGTCTTATTCACAGATGACTGAACAAAGATTTTGATTGTGTTATCTATTGCCTTTGGTGTTTCTTACCTTGCCCCGACGAGTAAGGAGTCTCCGTGGTGCTCGAGGAGCCTGAAATGATCTCGCTCGGAGTCGTTCCCACGAAATCGGGACCCCTTCAGCTTCCCTGAAATAGGCAGAAAAACATATTCCGTGCAGAGAAACCGTGTGCTGACGAAAATACGGTCATCGATATCCATCAAGAGAGATTTCAAAGGAAGGAAATAAGGTTATCGTGCGGAATCATTTATTGAACAGTGCAGTAGGTTTCCGTGCCTCCAGAACCATGTTTTATGGTCCCTTTGATTGACACAAGAGAATCACGCAGTCCACGTAAGAACTTAGTCTTACGTACCGCTTGTGACTGGTCCACATCACATACGATACGTAACCAAGGACTCGAATATGGAAAGAGAAGAAAGACTCGAGCTCGAGAACAGTCCGGATATTGTCCGGAAATTAGATCCATGCTATCGAGTTCCGTTCCTTTCTCTCTTCCTTCCTCTCTTCCCAAAGAGATAAAAAGGAATACAGATCACCTGATGGACAACGTTAAGCAGGTACTACCAATGCGACTAGGTCACAATTAGTCACTATGGATTCGAGTATGCAAGAAGACACGGGAAACCAGTTTAGCTATTCGTTTGATCCAAAAATTATATCCGTGCCATCCACACCTATTCTTCCTCTTTTCCCCAGAGGAAATATGGGGCACAATTGCGGTGCACGTCGATTCAGGACCCATGTCCCATGAAAAGCAGAAATTCTAATGGTAGGTACTCACGCGAATTCCACGCCAGGACAAAGCCCTCCAATTTTCTAATCGATGCTTCCGTTTCTTCTTCCTTCTCTTCCCTTCCCTTTCCCCCCCCCCCCAAATTCCTGGCTTCTCATGTTTAAAGTTTTTTTTTTTGTTTTTATGTTTTTATATCGGATCATTTAATACCTATTCACATTTGGGAAGGAGCTTGATGAATCGCAGTTCAGATGAATTTCATATCTCCCCCCCCCTTCCCCCCCCCCCCCCCCCCCCCCCCCCCCCCCCTCCATTTTTATAGGCTTCGCGCAATGATCTGGGTTTTCGAATGCACATGTTTTGGGTTGAGGGGTCGAGGGTGTTTGCTCCGAGCCTGTCACCCAGCGATCAGACAATCACCGCTTGGCATCTTTGTCATGTGTTGTCCCCATGGCCCATGGGAAAATTCCCTTCTTTCTCCCTACCTTGTAATCGGGGCATAATAGAGGGGGAGAAGTCAGAATGGAAGTCACTGCACATCGTCCTGCCATGGAATGCGAGGAGTAACTGATGTATGAACTGTACGTGAGAGAAAGTTCTTGCAACCTGGAAAAGCTTTTAGATCGAATAACTTTAATGCTTATGCTATATAAATGCGTTAAGCTTTAATACCACTTTTTTTCAACGGTCGTGTTGGAAAACATAATTCGACAGGATGACGAATTCATGGACCTCGGTCGCGATGAAACTTTCATCGAGGTGAACAGGAATCACAGGTGCATGGAATGCATGCAAATGCTTCCATCCGGGAGAGGGGGGGAGAGGAAGCGGACTTCCTCATTCATTCAATATTATCAATAACGCAATGAACGGCCTCGGCCGCGACTCAACATCAGTTCAACCATTCGAATTCGAATCAGCGGGGTCCTTTCTTTCTTTCGGAGGAGTGCACAAATGCCCGATATTCGCAGGGAATCCAGTGAAGCGTGGATTCATTTTCCACTCGCCAGACCAAATGCCCCATTTGTGAAGGGGCTCACTCGACCAGTGGAACAAAAATCTTCTCTTCCCTCTCTTCTTTCACCCTCGAAATCACTGGACCTTTCAAAATGAGGGGACGTCTGCTTCCCCACGAGAAAGAGCACGACATTAGGAAGCTTCGATCGTCTCTTCATAAGAGGTTCAATTACAAGCTTTTCACTTTAGCCCAAGTGCTTTCTGAAGGCTACACTGGGGAGTGCAGATATGCTCTACGACACGATGCATGGGGGAAAAAAAAGAGTATCCAGAAAATTCTCACATCAAGATAAGTGAGAAAACGCTTGAATTTATGCCTTTTCGAACTGAATGCAGATAGAGCAATGTTAATGTAGGATAAATGATCATTCTCGAGTAAAACTTATTGACACTAGACATGAAGTGCAAACAAGAAAAATGTTAAATGTAATCAGGTGTTTCCCACTGGAATTGATATGCTTGATTCCATGATGCTGCGATGTCGTTGGAATCATAGTAAAGTCGTACCATATTTGCCAGTGTCAAATGTACGAAAATAAACAGAATAAGAAGTACTCGCATCCGTACAAATTCTACAGTACGAGTAGGATCGTAGAGCCTGTGTTTTTTCCATGGGACAGACAAACAAGGCAGGGTTCGTTTCACTACAGACATATCGTAGAATAAGGAAATGTGGCTCTGTTCGGTCCATTCCGACAGTGTAACTAATTCTACAAGACATTCAGTACTTTTGCAAAATGGAAACCAGCACAACTACGATGATCAGGTCATCTGCTTCGAAACAACCATGTGAGAACAAGTCGTCTGCTTCGGCAGCAGACTATTTCCCTCCCGTCGTCAGATAATTGGTTAACATGACGTCATGGCCGTCGTCTGCTACCGGAGCGATCGAATGGCAGTCACTGACGCTGCGGCCAAACAAGAAACACGCCGGAAACAGACGGTACAGTATCCCCTTGTCATCAATCAGCCGTGCCTGAAAACCCTGTTTACCATCTCTGGCGTCGCCGTCATCTTCCATCAACGGGAGGATTCATCAAAAAATTCCCTTTTCTTCCTCACTCGTTCCCAGCTTGTTGACTGAGGACTGACTCGTCATGCGATACCCAATCCCTCTTCTTTCTTATCTTGGCTTCGGATTTCTCACCATATCCAATAATTTTGTTTCGCGAGAGGTGACATCTACACCAGCAAAATTTGCTCGGCTCTCAAGTTGCTTGGAGCAAGGTCGGGTTGCCCTGAAAATTAGACGACGCCACGCTCTTTTTTCCCTCCCTTCCCAAGTTAGACGTAGAAGATCTAGAAGTTAAGACGTAGAAAGACGATGGGATGAGTTTCTCTTTCCGACCACAACAAAACCCCGACAATTACGAACCAAATATGCACGTGGATATATATTCCGGGCGCCCGAGTTTCTCTCATGTCAGGTTCATACATATGGATGAAGAAGAGGGGGTAAGACATAAGATCCCTGAAAATAAAATGCAATGGAGATGATGATGAACAAGAGAAATGAAATCTTAACGCAACAGTCATTGAAGAAACGACTCAGGTCACATTAGGATGAGAAATGGAAGCGCAAGCGATGATTTGTAATGTCCAGAAGTTGCCGCGTCATCCACTGATCTTGATGATCTTTAGCTCTCTCTTATCTTTCTTTCTCCCCTCACTCACACCCCCCCCCCCTCGAGTTGTAAATAGGATGGGAGAAGGGGTGTGACCATTTGACCATTTGAAGAGATGCTGTTTACCATGTCCAGATCCACATGTGGCCTGGCACGAGAACCCTGTCCCTCGTTATGACCCGTAACAGAAAGTCCCCACAGACCAACCCCATTTCCGGGTGGCTGTTATCCCCCCCGATGTCATATATCCCCTTCCGATACTCAATAGGGATGCCATTATGTCGACGGCCAGGACGGCTGCTACGAATGAATGGTGAGAAGGCAGCCCGGAAATGGGTCTCGGGATCGAGCATGAATGAACTGGGCCAAAGATCTTCTCAGGAAACCTCTCAAGATTGACAGCATGGCCTGCGTATACTCAGAACGAGAATAAGGAAAAAAAAAAAACCGGTCACCCTTCATCTTTCATTCTTCGCTTAATGAGCTCGACCTTGTAACGCTGAAAATACATCAGATCGAAGAACTCGTTTCGCATCAACCTAAAGTCCGAACCAGAGAGACAAAGAGAGGGATGGAAGGCTCCGAATGCAGGAAGGAAGGAGGAGAAAAAGATGTTTGCTCAGCTGTCGAGAGAGAAGATATTGAGTCTGGAGTCACGTGCCACTGACATCTTCGAGATGGAGTCTTTCGCTCAAGGACAT